ACACCTTAAATCATGCTTGATTCATTCTACTTTTGTTAAATCATAGGAATCGAAGTGCTTCAATGCCAAAGAGTCTAACTTTAAAACTAATAACTTTAAAGCTAATACCCTTAAGTTTATGCGTTTATGGTTTTGCAATGATGTGGTTTTCCACCACTGTTAACAAACTTTAGACGCATAATCGATAGTGCCAGAGTCAAAGGTAACTAAAGTATTTTGGGGCATGAAGTTGGCCTTGGTAGAAATGGAGTCAGGGGAATAAGACGGTGGTTTTGTCCTTAAACAAAAATAAGAAAAATATTTAAGAAGACAAGATTCTAGATTGTGGCCAGCCTTATTCAGACCATTGATTATTTGAATAACTTGTTCAAATCTATAGTGGTCTGAATATTACTCCAAGATATATTTCTTAGCCCAACACCTTAAACCATACTCAATTCATTCCACTTTCATTGTTAAATCAAAGGAATTAAAGTGCTTGAATACCAAAGTGTTTAACCTTAAAGCTAACAACCTTAAACCTATGCGTTTATGGTCTTAAAATGATGCGGTTTCTTGCCACTATTAACTAACTTCAAACGCAAAACCAATGGTCATAGAGTAAAGGGTAACTATAGTAGTCAAGGGCATGAAATCATCCTTTGTATAAATAGAATTGAGGCACAAAAGGGTGGTGTTGTCCTTAAATAAAAAAATTAAAAAAAAAAAGAGAGGAAAAGTTTAAGAAGAGAAGTTTCTAGATTCTAACTAGCCTTGTTCATACCAATGCCAATTCGAATAATCTGTTTGAACCCAGTAGTGGTCTGAATATCATGGCTAAAATACGTTTTCTAGCACAATGTCTCAAACTATGCTCAATTCCTTCTACTTTCATTGAATCACTAGATTCAAAGCAATTGAATACCAAAAAGTATAACATTAAAACTAATAACTTTAATCATATACGTTTGTGGCTTTGCAATGATGTGGTCTTCCGCAACCATTAACCAAATTAAGACGTGTAACAAATAGTGCTCGAGTCAAAGGCAACTAGAGTAGTCATAGGCATGACGCTAGCCTTGGTAGAAATAGAACCAGGGCACAAAAAGGTGGTGTTGCCCTTAAATGAAAAGAAGAAACGGTCTAAGGTAAAAAGCTTCTAGAATCTAGCTAGATTTCTTCAAACCATTGGTGGTCTAAATAACCTGCCTAATCGGTAGTGGTTTGAATATCATAGCCAAAATACATTTCCTTGCGTAACACCTCAAATCGCACTCAATTCTTTCTACTTTTGCTGAATCACAAGAATCAAAGCGCTTGAATACCAAAAAGTCTAACCTTAAAGCTAATAACCTTACATTTACATGTTTGTGGTTTTGTAATGATGCTGTCTTCTACCATCATTAACCAACTTCAAACACATAGCTGACAGTGTTGGAGTTAGGAGCAACTAAAGTAGTCAAAGGCACAATGTTGGTCTTGGAAGAAATGGAATCGGGGCATGAAGGGTGATGTTGTCCTTAAATGAAAATAAGAAAAAGTTTAAGAGAATAAGTTTCTAGATTCTAGCAGGCCTTATTCGAACCTTATTCGAACCATTGCTAGTCCAAATAACCTATATGGACTAGCAATGGTCTTAATATCATGGCCAAAATACATTTCTTAACCTAATGCCTCAAATTGCACTCAATTTGTTCTACTTTCGTTAAATGACAAGAATTGAAGTGCTTGAATACCAAAGAGTCTAATCTTAAAGAAAATAACCTTAAACCTATGCATTTGTGGTTTTGCGATGATATAGTCTTCTGCAATCTTTAACCAACTTAAGATGCATAATCAATGGTGCTAGAGTTAGAAGCAACTAGAGAAGTCAAAGGCATAAAGCCGACCTAAGTAAAAACAAAATTAGGGCATGAGAAGGTGATGTTATCTTTAAATGAAAAGAAGAAAAGCTTTAAAAGGAGAAGCATCTAGATTCTGACTAACCTTATTTGGACCACTGCCTATAAGAATAACTTGTTTGAACTGACAATGGTTTGAATATTATAGCTAGAATACATTTCCTAACCCAATGCCTCAAACTATGCTTAATTCATTCTATTTTTTGTTAAATTAAAGGAATCAAAGCACTTGAATACTAAAGAGTCTAAGATTAAAGCTACTAATATTAAACCAATGCATTTGTGGTTTCACAATAATGTGGTATTTTGCCATTGTTAACTAACTTCAAATGCATAACCAACAATGCTAAAGTCATGGCTAACTAAAGTAGTCAAAAGTATGAAGTTAGCCTCAGTAAAAATAAAATCAAGGCACAAGTGGGTAGCATTATCCTTAAATGAAAAGAAAAAATGTTTAAAAGGAAAAGCATCTAAATTATGGGTGGCCTTATTCAAACTACTGACAATTCGAATCACCTATCTGGACCAAAAATGGTCCAAATATCATGACTATAATATATTTCCTAGCTCGATGCCTCAAACTATGCTTAATTTGTGCTATTTCATTGAATTACTAGATTCTAAATGCTTGAATACCAAATAGTATAATGTTAAAACTAATAATCTTAGGCTTATGCAGTTGTGGTTTTACAATAATGTGGTCTTTTGTAGCCGTTAACCAAATTTAGACATGTAACCAATAGTGCTAGAGTTAGGGGCAACTAGAGTAATTAAAGCTACAAAGACAATGTTGGTAGAAATGGAATCAAGGCATTAGAGGGTGGTGTTGTCTGTAAACAAAAAAAAAGAAAAAGTTATATAGAAAAAGCTATATAGAAAAAGCTTATATATTTTGGCCAACCTTATTTAGACCACTAATGGTCTGAATAACTTGCCTGGATCGACAGTGGTCTAAATATCATGACTAGAATGCATTTTTTAACCTGACCCCTCAAATCCTGCTTGATTCTTTCTACTTTTGTTGAATCACAAGAATCAGAGTGCTTAAACACCAAAGAGTCTAACCTTAAAGTCAATAACCTTAAGCTTACGTGTTTGTGGTTTTGTAATGATGTGGTCTTCCATCATTGCAAACCAACTTCAGATGTGTAACTGACGGTGTTGGAGTTAGGGCAAGAAGAGTAATCAAAGGAATGATGCAAACCTTGGTAGAAACAGAATCAAGGCACAAGAGGATAGTGTTATCCTTAAATGAAAAGAGGAAAAAGTTTAAGAAAAGGAGATTCTAGATTATGGCTAGCCTTATTTGGGCCATTGATGGTCTGAATAACCTGTCTAGATTGATAGTGGCCCAAATTTCAAGGCCATAATACATTTCCCATCTCAACACCTCAAACTGTGCTCGATTCATTCTACTTTTGTGGAATTTGAAAAATATGGGTGCTTGAATATAAATGAGTCTAACCTTAAAGCTAATAACCTTAAACCTATGCATTTGTGGTTTTGCAATGATGTGGTCTTTTACAATTGATGACCAACTTAAGATGTGTAACCAACGATTTTAAGAGTTAAGACTAGTTAGACTAGTTAAGGGCATGAAATTGACCTTGGTAGAAATGGAATCAGGGTACAAAAGGTTGGTATTGTCCTTCAACAAAAGGAAGAAAAAGTTCAAGAGGAGAATCTTCTAGATTATGATTGGCCTTATTTGCACCAATGCTAATCTAAATAACCTATATAGATAGATATTGGTCTGAATATTATGGCCAAAATACATTTCCTAACCCAACGCCTCGAACCATGCTTGATCCATTCTACTTTTGTTGAATTTGAGGAATCAAAGTGCTTAAATACCAAAAAGTCTAATCTTAAAGCTGCTAACTTTAAGCCTATGTGTTTGTGGTTTTAAAATGATGTGGCTTTTTTTTGCAACCATTAACTAACTTTAGATGCATAACCGACAATGTTGGAGTTAGGGGTAACTAGTGTAGCCAAAGGCACAAAGTCATCCTTAGTAGAAACAGAATCAAAGCACAAGAAAGTGGTGTTGTCCTTAAATAAAAAGAACAAAAAGTTTAAGAGAAAAAGCTTCTAGATTATGGTTGGACTTATTGGGACTAATGCCAGTTCAAATAACTTGTCTAGAC